ATCTCAGGAACAGCAAAATAAAATAATAATAATAATAATAATAATAATAATAATAAATTTAAATTTGAGTATAAGCCTCAAGTGACAGTGCAGAACTGTGATCACAACACTCAGGGAACCGGCTGCATGGGCTTCAGAGCAGGCTCAAGTCCAGCCTGGGCAACTTAACAAAACTCAAAATACTAAGTAAAAAGAGGGCTAGCTGAATGTATAGCTCAGTGGTAGTGCATTTGTTTAATGTGTGTGACATCCCAGGTTCAATCCCCAGCACCACAAAGAAAAAAGTAGGGGAAAAGATAATCTTCAGGTAGAAACCAAATAAAGCATCCGTGTACACTATAGTTGGAAAGAAGGGACCCTGTGGCTGGGAAGATGGGGTGGATTCAGTGATGACCAAAAGAATAAGTCACAGGAGAAATGTTATAAAAGTGACAATGGCCACAACTTCATCAAAATCCAAAATAAGGATGAGCCAAGAGAGAAGGAGGACTTCCTGGCAGAGGTGGGGCTGGGAAGGCCCTGGAAAAATAGGAGGATTGGAGCGAGCGTGGAGCACGGAAGATGGTTCTAGCGAGAGGGTTTCTGCCAGGAGAGCAGGCAGGATTTATACATGGTGAATGCAGGCAGCCTTTGGGGGCACCTGGGACAGAACCACATCGGTCCTGCTAAGGAATCCTGCTACTCCAGACTCAGAAAGAAGCCTGGAAGGCAAAGCTGGCCAGAAAGGCTGGGCTAGATGTGGGTGGTATCCTCAGATTTCAGACCCTGAGTTGGGGTTTGACTCCATCTGGCTTAGGAAGCCATGAGAACTGCAGAGCTCTGGGAGTGGTATGAATCCCCCAGGACTGATGGGTGATCTTTCTAACAATGGGGAGTGACATGAGAGGTTACATATAAAAACACTGCTTTGAAGGCTTCCTAGCAAAGCACTTCTCCATGTGTATATTTGTGGGGAACTGTGAGAACCCCAGGGAGCGCCTAAAGCCTGTCCAACCTTCATGCAACAGTTGTGTGATCTATCAGCCACCATCCACAGAGCACCAACTTTGAGCTAATGGAGGCCATTTCAAAGCCAAGTTACAGACTTAGGTCTGCTCACCATCCATGCTCCTGTAACACTAGGGGCTGCTAGCAGCTTTGGTGTCCCTCTGTGAAGTCAGGGAGTAGACGGAATGATTGGAGCTTCTGTTGGGTTGGGGTGAGATTGCCGGGAACTAGACAAACAGGTGCCGTCATGCCTTTGCCTGCGCTGCCTCTAAAGCAGTGGTTAAAGTACAGATGCCTCAAGCTGGAGTTGCCTTCCCTCAACCCCTAGGAATTTCTGGGTCCAGGAGTGTGGATTATTCTTTGGGGGATAAGGAGGGAAGTGTGACAGCCATAATAAAGCCAAGTGTTTGCTCCTGGCACCTCCTGCCCCTCTCAGAACTATGCAGATCAACAGAAGATCTCAGTCTTGGAGTTCTTCAAGAGCTTGAATCCATCGGGAACAATGACAATGCCTGTGGGGGATTTCCGGAAAGCCTTGATACAGGTGTGTTGATTCCTGTAGAGTCTGGGGGGTGGGGGGGTGGGAGGATGGCCAGGCAGGCATAAGCTTGCATTTCATACTGCCATATAAGATTGGCTGAGGGCACCGCCCTCAACCATCTAGACTCAGAGGGAAACTCAGCACCTCCCTCAACCCCCTGCCCAAATCTGTCATGTGGCCTGATGTCACTCCTCATCTCAGAAGCAGACATCCGTCTCAGAGGTCTTCCCTCTGTTGTGTTTGGCTCCTACGATGATGAAAAGTGAGAGAAGGAGAAATGACCATTTCCCCGTAGCTCCCACTCTCTACCTTCAACCTTTCCAGCTCCCCTGAACCCCCACAGTCCCTCTTACCCCGATATATTGAATGCAATGGCGTTACTCTGAAATGTGTGGGTGAAGCGATCAATTCACACAGCATCCTGGGAAGGCCTTGGGTCTAGGGGCCTGGGCAGGTATGAATGCTTAGTACCCAGGCCGATAAGGCGAGAGGGCTGCTCAGAACTAGGTGTCTGGGAGCAAGAATGGCCTTCACGTGGTGACGCGCACAGCTCCTGTCCACCTCAGCTCCTGGATCCTGAGCCCTTGTCCCTCCCCGGAAGTGGGAGGTCATCTGGAGGCAAGGCAATGCCATGGAAAGCAGCTGCCTCCAGTTCCTCCCCATGGGAGGCGCAGACACCTCTGAGCCCTCAACTGCCACCAGGGGGCCCAAAAGTGAGACATTACAGGGGGTCACTAGGTGTGAAGGAGCAGAGGGCTCCATAACACGTTACATCTGTCCTCTCAGCAAGACAAGGTTCCCATCAACCGGTACCAGATCAGGGAGATCATAAAGAGGTTGGATGAGAAGAATGGCGTGGTGGACTTCAGGTGAGCGTGGCCCTCTGCCCTTCTTCCCCTGCTTGCCAAAGGGCGCTAGGTGGGAGGGGCTCCGCCCTGGGATCCCGCCATCTATGTTACGATATGGACAAGACTGTATCATAGTTTATCAGAGTATACTATTACAGTATACCAGAGACCTCGCCCCAGACCCCACGGCAAGGCAACAAGGGTCCCCTCCTTTCTCATCCTCAGCTCGCTCGCATAGCAAGACTTGAGCAAGACAGTGGGACCTGTGCCTGAGGAACTCCAGCCCACAAGAAAAAGCGACAATGTTCAGGCCTCCAAGGTGAGGACAAGAGCAACTAGGGGGCTATGCAGGGTACCAAGGGAGGCATCATTTGGGCAGTGCTTTGTCTAGGTCTGGCAAGATGGGTAGACACATGCCATATTTCCATTATAGAGGTCGAGGACAACTTGTGGGATAAGTTCACCACTTCTGGGAAACAAATTCAAGTTGGCATGCTTCTGGCAAAGGCCATTAGCTGCCAAGCCATCTCACTGGCCATTTGGGGTGTGTGTGTGTGTGTGTGTGTGTGTGTGTGTGTGTGTTTGTGTGTGTGCTTGTGTGTGTGTTTGTGTGTGTGTTTGTGTGTGTGTGTGTGTGTGTGTGTGTGTGTGTGGTGTGTGTGTGTTTGTGTGTGTAGGCCAGAGGGTTGGCATCTTCATCTACTGCTCTCCACCTTAATTTTTGAAACAGTGTCTCTCTCACTGAATATGGAGCTCACTAATTGGCTAGAGGGACTGGCCAGTGAGCTTCCTCCCCCAGCCTTAGCACTAAGACACCATCACACAGGCTTTTATGTAGGTATTGTGATCTGAACTCAGGTCCCCAGCCCAGCATTCCCCTATTCCCTTACCTTTCACAACAGTTTCTTAGAAGTCACAACAGCCAATCAGGTCTGGAGAGAAGCTCCAACAAGAGAAGTTGTGGTGGCTATCAGGAGATTCACTCTAAGGTCAGATGAATAGATGCCATGATCAGAGCTAAGTGTGAGCAAATAAAATCTGGCTTGGTCTGGGCATCTCTGTGCTGCTGATGTTGGTTCTGGGAATCTCTCTGTGTGCTGCTGATGCTGTGTCCTTCATTCATTGGGGCGGGGGAACATTCAGGGTTTAGTGACATCAAGGGGACACAGTCTAGGTGGTCTCATTTATAGCCACAAAGGCTAACTGGGAATGTAGGATTGCTAGACAGAAGGAAAAGAGCCCACAGGGAACAGGTTAAGGCACAAAAAGTGTTGGTCATGGTCAGTGCAAACTGAGTTGAGGTTTGGAAAGACTGTATAGACGAGGATGGGGGTGGGGAGGGCAGTGGTCGGAGAAAGAGTCGCTGAAGAAACAAGGATCCTTTAGAAGGAAACTTTGTGGCGACACATGGAAGGGCAGGGGAGGACAGTGGTCGAAGAAAGAGACGCTGAAGAAACAAGGATCCTTTAGAAGGAAACTTTGTGGCGACATAGTGTAAGAGACCAATAGACTTGGCAGCTAGTCCAGCCTGATCACAGCACAACCTGATCACCTGACCTTGGAACCTCAGTGGTCTTGCCTGACTAATGGAACAGAAAAGATGAAACTTCTCAGTCTGTTCCAGAGCCCGTCATTCTGTGTTGCATTTTAAAATTCCTTGAGAGCGGGCTGGAGAGATGGCTCAGAGGTTAAGAGCACTGACTGCTTTTCCAGAGGTCCTGAGTTCAATTCCCAGCAACCACATGGTGGCTCACAACCATCTGTTATGAGATCTGGTGCCCTCTTCTGGTGTGCAGTATATATGGAAGCAGAATGTTGTATACATAATAAATAAATAAAATCTTTAAAAAAAAAAAATTCCGGGCTGGAGAGATGGCTCAGAGATTAAGAGCACTGACTGCTCTTCCAGAGGTCCTGAGTTCAATTCCCGGCAACCACATGGTGGCTCACAACCATCCATTACGAGATCTGGTGCCCTCTTCTGGTGTGCAGATATACATGGAAGCATGTATGTTGTTGTATACATAATAAATAAATAAAATCTTTAAAAAAAATTCCTTGAGAGGGCCAACAAGATGGCTCAGGTGGCAAAGGTGCTTGCTGCACAAGCCAGTTTATCTGGATTCAATCCTGGGATCCATGATGGAAGGAGAAAAGTTTTGAATGTTGTCCTCTGACCTGCATATACATGCTGTGTGGCACGTGTGGGCACACACATTATAAAAATGTTTAAGTCTTGAGAAAAGCAATCTGAAGGCCAAGACAGAAAACTTTATTGCCATAAGTTTGAGGTTACCTTAGCCTACATAGTGAATCCAAGGGCTCAGGAGTTAAGATTATTGCAGCACACACGTACCTACACTTGCATACATGAACACACACACACACAAAAAAAAAATGGGGAGGTAGAGGGGGGGAGAAGAGAAAAGAAAGGCAAGATGCAAGAATTATTTAACAAAAAAGAAGTAGGGTTTCTATTGCTGTGAAGAGACCCCATGACCATAGCAACTCTTATAAAGGGAAACATTTAATTGTGGTAACTTACAGTTCAGAGGTTCAGTCTATTATCATGGTGGTGGGACATGGCGGCATGCGGGCAGACATGGTGCTGGGAAAGGAGCTAAGAGTCCTACGTCTTGCAGGCAACAGGAGGTGGTCTGAGTCACCGAGTGGTATCTTGAGCATATGTGAGACCTCAAAGCCTGCCTCCACAGTGACACACTTTCTCCAACAAGACCACACCTACTCCAACAAGGCCACACCTCCTAGCAGGGCCATTCCCTTCTGGGGGCAATTTTCTTTCAAACCACCACAGTTGGCCAGGCTGTGGCGTGCTGAAGGGTGTCCAGTATAACGTCACCAGTTACCACTGTGAAGCAATCAGGACAGTGCGTTTTTTTTTTTTTGACAGTGCATATCTTTTGCCCGTGGTAATAGGACAAGCAGATGACTGGTGGGTCAGTCCCACAGATGGCACAGAGCAAAGCAGCAGACATAGCAGGGTGTTCTGTGACTATTGAGACTATCTCCTCAAAGAAAGGTGAGGCTTTTGAAGTCTCTGATCTTTTAAATCTTTTGTAACCTACAAACTTATTTTGGAGCATCCATAACTGATAGGGCCTAGGGATTGTGTATGGCTGAGAGCAACATCCCAATGTGTGACAAAAGAAAATGAAAATTAGTATGGCCATGCATCAGTAAAAGCTTCCATTTCTTTCTGTTCATCTTTGTATAAAATTGAAAAGGGAGCCATGATTGCCATAAATCTGATTTTTTTTTAATTTCAGGCTGATTTCTGGGAATAGTGAGAGATTCTAGAGAGCTAAACTCTACTCCTATCACTAGTTCCAGTCCTCTATGTCACCCCTTGACCCTGACACTCCACCCTAGGTAAGTGAGAGACAGATAGCCAAACCCAAATCTTCCTCCAGGATCCAGAGGCCTCTCCCCAAAACGGACGGGTTTTTGCAGCTCCCAAAGGTGGCGCCATTCCCATTTGTACCCACTAGGTGTCAGGTCAGCTCCAAAAGTCCTCATGAGAACTTTTCACTGAGCTCTATAGATAGAGATGCCCTCTAAACTTGGAATCTTCCATGAACTTCTTCCAACATCCTGAACATCTGCCCCTGGAACAGTTTGATCAGCCACTGGGATGCAGGAGCCCATACCGCGCAGACCCCTCCACGGCTCTGTGTTCTCTCAGTCGATCCGCGTTACTAAGAACTACCGTGCACTTGTGTAGTAAGGAAGAAAAGCTGACCCCTGGGCAGATTTCCACAGCCAGTCCCCCATCTGGGCAGCCCTCACGGCAGCAGCAAGCCCAGCCCAACAAGCCAGCCAGCAGGAGCCTGGAGGTGGGAGGGGCTGCAGCAACTCTACCTCGACACCTAAGCAGGAGGACCCTATAGGAGTAGCAGAGGCTATCAAGGAGACAGACAACCTAGAGGCTGCTGCGCCCTAGGCTGCATCCTGGGTTTATCCCTCCTTCCATACTCCAACCGGGCTTTGGGAACTAACTCTGCGTCCTCCCAGGACTTTAGAATGAGCACCGTTAAATTCATTTCCCCAGTGAGGAGAAGTTTAGCATCCTGGCCACGATCTCTCAGGTAGCGAAGAGCAATGCTGAGCTTCGGGGCCCTGCAATGTGTCTTAACCATGACCCTTCCCTGTTCCTCTGAGGCTGCCTTGCACCTTTTCGCCACCAGGGGGCAGTTTGAAGGGACTCGCTCTGCAGACGTCAAAGCGGAGAAATAACATTGTGAGGGCTGGAATGGCTGTGAGAGGGAGACAAAGGCAGTCGTGACAAAAACTGGTTGCTCAGCACTCCATACTCTGCTGTGGCCAAGTTCTTACGAGGAAGGTTTATGAGTCCCGCCGATCCCCACCTCTGGCCTCCACTCCCACGGGCTCAGCTATCCCCTGGTGGAGCTAAAGTGGCAGGACGCTGGATGGATACCTCTGTTTTGAGCCATAACGTGGCCAACCCATGGAAATTCTGGCATTTTGCAATTCTCAGTTTGAAATCTACCTAGCTTTACCAGTTTGCCTGTGACCTTGAGCAGTGGGTTCCATGTTTCTGGCTTTGGTTTCCTCATCTGTAAACGGGGGTGATAATATAGTATCCTTGAAACCCTTTGTTTCCAGGCCTTGTGAGTAGCTTGTAATTTACCGAGCACATTCTTGCTGTCTACAGAGAGCTAACTCCTGTCTCAACCTCATTACAGTGGTATTCCACTCCTGAGAGAGGATGTCAGGAACTATAGGACCCAAAGAGCACAGGCAGGGCCATCTCAATACACCCAAGTACTGAATCTTAAAAATGCTGTAGAGGAGTTTCCACCCTGGGCCTTGGCTAAGGCTGGTGTGCGAACAGCCCAGGGTCTGAAGAATGACAGGGAAGCCGGGCAGTGGTGACACAGACCTTTAATCCGAGCACTCCAGAGGCAGAGGCAGGCAGATCTCTGTGAGTTTGAGGCCGGCCTGGTCTATAGAGTGAGTATGAGAAAATCCATAGGTGGTGGGGGGGGGGGGGGGGGGGGGGTGACAGGGAGACAGGAGGTGGGAACTACTAGCTCACATGGTGGGGCAGTGGGGCCTTATAGACCAACAGAGTGGGATGCCAGCTCATCTTTACCAAGGGAAGCTCCACCCTAAATCCAGGGGAAGGCAGACTCCACATTCAAGAGCTTCCTTCCTAGCAGGCAAGCACCATAGCCCACGTGTTTCTCAGAGCAGGTGTGACCACAAAGCTGGTTAGGAATCACCCTTGTGAGAGTGACCACACAAGCCACCGCCTCAAAGTCAGTCCTGGTGGCAGCCACAGTGTCCTCAGAAAACCAAGCCGGCCCTGCCAAGTGGGGGCTTGGGATCTGTTTGGTTTTAAACAAAAGAAAACAATGGCTGGCAAAGCTAGCCTGTCTCCAAAAACCCTGGCTTCTGACCAGCAGCCTTGAAGCAAAACGAAGGAAAGGCTCTCAGGAAACCCGCATCACATTCCGGAGGAGAGGAGGGCTGGGCAGCTGGGGGAGCTGACTCCCAGCCCAGTGTGCCCCACAGGGGAGAATAGCAGCATGAACCTCAGCATGAACCCTCACCATCTCGCTCCCTCCTTCCCTAACTCCCCACCCCCACTGTAGCCCAGACTGGCCTCAATCGCTCTGCAATCCTCCGGTCTTAACCTCCTAGATCTAGGTTCAGGGACATGAGCCATCATGCAAGGCAAGGAGGTTTTGTTTTTGTTTGAAGTTTTTGTTTGTTTGTTTTCTTTTTTGGTTTTGTCTTGCCACTGCTTTGGAGAGTGCTTGAAGATGCCAGGATAACGGGCTGGCTGCTATGAGTTGAAGATGCCTGGGACACAACATTCCTTGTTCGAATATGTGCAGATACAGAAGGGAAAAAAAAGTATTTGCCATTTTGGAGCCATGCTAAGCTAGAGGAAACACCACCACCCCCCATCCCCAGCTTGAAAATAATAGGTTGGTCTTTTCCGTAGTTCTTAAGCAAGAGTGTCAAAACCCTTGGAATTTCCTGAGAAGAAATGTCTTTGTCATGCTAATTGAGATTTATACAACCCTCAGATGGCTTTGGGATGGGAGTTGATCACCAGAAAGACCAAGACTATAGCTGGGCCTTCCAGGCCAGCCTCAAATGTCCCCCTCCCAGGAGGGTGGCTTGGAGGTGGAGTTTAATCCTCTGCCTCCTTCTGTCAATCAAGCCCCTCTCATGAAACTCCATAAAACCCTGGCTCTTGGGGTTCCTTGTGGTGATCAAGTCATTGAGGAGGATGTGGTGTGTCCAGACACCACAAAGAGGGGTTCCCCAGTGTCAGCCCTCAGATCCTACTCTGGGACCACCTTTACTGTCCTGGGGTGTTGCCCTTTATTAGTTTGATTTATTTTTTATATTGTGTGTGTGCGCATGCATGTGCGTGTTTATGTTTCAGAGTATGTGCATGTCACAGTGTACGTGTAGAGGTCAGAGGACCTCCGGTGTGGGTCTTCGCCTTCCACCATGCTTGCTATAGAGTCCTTGCTGTTTTGGCTAAATACTTCTGGATAGCTGGTCAACAAGCCTCCTGTTTCCTCCTGTCTTCCCCACCCCCCAAGACAGGGTTTCTCTGCATAGATCTGGCTGTCTTGAACTCAATTTATAGACCAAGCTAGCCTTGAACTCACAGAGACCTGCCTGCCTCTGCTGGGATTAAAGGCATGTGCCACCACACCCAGCTATTTCCTCCTGTCTTACCCTATCTGGCTTTTACATGGGCTTCTAGGATCCAAATTCAGGTTTCCAGGCTTGAGTGGCATGCACATTTACCCAACAAGCCACCTGTCCCAGCCGGCAGCCTTCACGATGAAATTGTAATTGTTAGTGTGGCATATCCAGTGAGGGGGCTGGAAAACAGGACCCTCGTTATTTTTACATGTCCGGTCGGAAATGCAGACGTCTTAGAGCTCCCATTTGCAGTGGCCATCTTAAGTAGCAGTCCTGCGGAGGAGCCCTGATGCAGGAAGGGTCCAAGGTGAGCAGAGTCAATGAGAACTGCAGTAGATCCGTGGGAGTTAGCACAAGTTAAGCGAGAAACACGAGTGCACCCGAAAGTGTACTCGTGACTGACTGTTGTGTGTTCCATGCTCAAACAGGCGTTTATCAGAGACTGAAGCCCACAGGAACCGGTATTGTCCCCTGAGAGTCCTGCTGATATACCTCCTCGCCAGGTTCTACTTTGACCAGCAGGCGGCGCTCTGACCTTACATGTCCTCCATTTGGGCTAAGGATTTCCCAGATCTCTGAAACCTGGTAATGGGAAGAAGGGAAAAGAAAACAGAACCCCGCTGGCTGAAGAAAATCAAATTCCTATTGGCCATCAAAAGAAGAAGAAGAAGAAGAAGAAGAGGAAAGATAGAGAACGGAGCAGGGAAGGGAGGGGAAGGACGGAAGGGAGGGAGAAAAGACAAGAGGAAGGAAGGAAGGAAGGAAGGGAGGAAGGAAGGAAGGAAAAGGAAGGAAGGAAGGAAGGAAGGAAGGAAGGAAGGAAGGGAGAGAAGGGAGTGGAGAGGTGGATGAAAGGATGGATGGAAGGAACGAAAGGAAAGCAGCCTTGTCTGGCATCAACAGCATCACAGCCTGCCTGGGGAGGACCTGTGAGGACCAATCTTGGACAACTGGGGCGGGGGTGGGGGGGCTCTTTTTAAGACGCAAGCAATACTAGGAACAGAGTAGATGTTTATTTAGAGTTGGGGGTGGAGGTTGTAGCCAGTGAGAAACTGCAAAAGCTGATAATATGATGACCATCAAATCCTAGGACTTCGAGAGGGGCTTCTTTGGGACACCCCCCATGTGTCCCCTGCTATAGTGAGGGTCCTCCAGTCCCAGCAGCTCCTTTTTGTTTCCCAAGCAAGGAGTGCCCAGCTGCAGGAAAGGGAGTGTGGGGCAGAGTCTGCCTCCTGAACCTGCAGTGCCAAGTCAGGGGCTAGAAGACCTTGGGCTCCAAAGTTTCTCTTTAGGGAAACATTGTGCCAACACTGTCTTTCATTGTCTGTGGGGCAGCCATTTGTAGACACGGCACAAAAGCGCATGGGACATTGTCCCTTCCCGCTGACACACAGAGGAGGTTGCCACGTTAGTCCATCTTTTGAATGGCTCTAAGGGCTTCTGTATCCTTGTTACCTGGAGGTCCTCTGCTTACTTGGAATTTCAAACTCAAGATAATAGCCTCAAAATGCCTTTCCCCAATATGCTGTGATGCAGCAGTAACTCCTTTTTTAAACTATTGAGAGAAATTCAGAATGTAAATCCTTCAATGGGGTCGGGGAGCAGAAGAGATGGCTCAGCAGTTAAGAACACTGGCTGCTCGTGAAGAAGACCTGGGCTTGGCTTCCAGCACTTTCATGGTGGCTTACAACTGTCTGTAACTCCTCTTGCACAGAGCCCTCTTCTGGTTTCTGCAGGCAACAGGCAGTGCATGCCTGCAGTATACATATACATATAAGCAGGCAAAACTTTCATGCACATAAATTTTAAAAAAAAAACAGAGGAGGAATCTTGGGGTGTAGTTCAGTTGGTAGAGTGCCCTGAGTTTGATCCCCAGCATCACATAGGTGGTGGTATATGGTGGTACATAGTAGCAATCCCAGCTTCTAGGGTGGCAATAGGAAGATTGGAAGATAATGGACATTTTAGAGGACAAGAGCTCAACCCCCAGCACTGGGCATCTCACAACTTCCTGTAATTGCAACTCCAGGAAGTCCAACGCTCCTTCCAGCCTCTGCCAGCACCTGCAAGCATATGTGCGCACACACACACACACACACACACACACACACACACACACAAAGATAAGTTTTTTCTGTTTGTCTGAGACAAGGTCTCACTATGTAGGCCTAGCTGTCCCAGAACTCACTTTGTAGACCAGGCTGGCCTCGAACACACAATCTGTCTGCTTCTGTCTCCTCAATGCTGGATCAAAGGCATGTGCCATCATGCCTGGATTAAGATAAGTCTTTTTCAAAGAGAAGACTCTCTTAAATGGAAGCTACATTGTTTATAACAGTAAACTGGCAACAAACAATATAATAAATCATACAGTAAATCAGATATGCTCTAGGGGAAAATAGAACCTGGAAAGTAGGGTGAGAAAGAGCTGGGAATGGGAGTGGGGAGGGCTACAGTAAAGCAGATGGGGAATGGGATTTGACCAAAGGCTTGAGGCAATGAGGGAGTCCTGTGAACACCTCAGGGACCAGCCACTTAGG